GATTTTCTCATCGATTTCAATGTATGAGGGAATGGAACCACTAGACGACCCACACAATTTGATTATAGGGGGTGATGGCTTGTATAGAACCAGCCACACCTTTTGTAGGAAATGTTAACAGAGAAATGTGCACAATGTGCTACAAAATCTCTAAACAGCTGTCCTTGGGTTTGAATTCAGATTTTTTGCTATTTGAATTTTTTTGATAAATCACAATTCTTAATGAGTGAATAAGTTCCTTGTAAGCCCTATGCCTATAAAATGCCCATGGAAATTCCCTCATTGCATTGTTAAATATTTGAGCTTAATAACTTCAACAAAATATTTCAATAACAGACATAAATATGAATGCACATCATTATTTAAACTTTAAAGAAGCAAGTTGGTACAAATGAAAAGATTAAAAATTGACAAGATTTTCTATTTCACTGAAGCAGATGAGAACACTTTCTGCCTCTTCTCTCCTTTGCTTGAAATGAGACATCATTTCTGATATGTTTTTTTTCTGTCTTTCCTCACAATGAAAGCGGAATAGTCCATTATTATAAGGAACAAGCAAAATTACAATATGATTGCTGATACATAATTTTAAACTTTATTTACTAAGAAAGGAAGATACATACTGTAGGTATCATTTGTATGTTAATATTGCTGTTATTCCTTCTTTCATCGTACTCTGAACCAAAGCGGAAAATTACAAGGAAACAGGTTTAAAACTTAACAAGAACAATCATATCTTCAGAGTGTTGTCTAGTAGGACTCAGCATACTTCCTACTCTTACCTACTACTGTGACAATGGACTGCTTCTACTTATAAATATGACAAGTAGCTACATTAGAGGAGGATTTGAGTAGTATTTGATTTACTCAAGTTATTTTGTTCTATATATGATTATTTAATAAACCTCTACCTAGTCTTCTGTCCCTTCAATACTCTAACTATAGCCTTCTTAATTCTTGGCTATTTTGAACAAAGACAACATTACAAGGTATTGGCAGTGTAAACTAAGGAACAAACAGAATTATATCCTTTTCTTTATTCATGTTCACTTACTGCTCTTTTCTCAGTTCAGAAAGAAAAGATATGAATAAATTAATGAGTATTACACACAAGGAATATTTTTGGTTCTTCAACTTTAATTCTATATATGCCTATATTATATTAGGGCTGATTCTTAAAACCAAATAAATGACTTATTAATCTAATTAATAATCAAACAAGAGAATTGTTTGGATTTTAAAATTTACAATATTATTTAACTAGTTCTTAAAGAAAATATCAAAAAGATTACCAGGGTACAAAATTTATAATCTTATTGTGGAAGATGGTTAAAAAAGAAAGATTTGAGATTCTTTCTAGCACAATGACAAATATTAACCCATTAATATTTGTGAAAATATGTGAAACTGTGAAACCTGATATCAATAACAAAATTATAATAATTTGATATTAGCATTTTTTTTTAAAAATCCAGTAGTAATTAGTTTAATAAAAACAAAATCTATTAATTATAAATTTCTCAAAAACATTTGGTATTAATTCTAGGTTTCTAATAAAATATCTGGTATATTTAGAAAATATATATATATATATATATATATATATATATATATATATATATATATATATATATATACACACACACACACACACATATATATATGTATGTATATATATATATATATATATATATATATATATATATATATATACATACACACACACACATATATATACATATGTATATATATGTTTTTTCTTTGACTAATAATTCTCTCAAAAGTGGGCATATGGCCAAATTATTAGCATTCTGACCATGAGACCAGAATTCAAATCTCACCATGTAACTTCTTGATAAAATCAGCCTGGGCAGATGATCACAGCATGTGGCACCAAAATGAGAAATGTCTGAAAACTATAATATGGCTTGAGCCAAGCCTTGTGAGTTAAATTTAGGTAAATGAAACAGTTTAGAATCAGCCAATGGTTGTGTTAGGACTAAGTCACAATTCCTCATTTCACTGACAGATAGAAGCTGTTTAGTATTGGCTAGCAGCATATCCTGAAATGGTGTCTCAATGAACCCATCACCCCTTCTAGCAGCCTGGCCGCTTGTGAAGATATATTGACCTGAAAAATATACAATAATTGAAAAGAATATCACAGAAGTTTGCAATCTACTTCAGGTGAAAATAGAGCAAATTGATGATTTCTTTCCTTTTGATTTCAGTTGCATTTTATTGCAACTCTTTCACCCTCATTTTATGATCATTAATAAACAGCATAGATCATAAATAAAGTATAAGATTCTGATTTGAGTTAGACTTATTATAAGCTGAAAGAAATAATGGTTTAAACTCTCTATTAATTACCTTAAAGAACTGGTTTTACTTTCATCAGCATGACTGATGCTAAACTTCAGGAGAACAACTCACTGTGCCTTCTTGATCTCCACATTTTCCAATGAAGTGGAATGATTATATTGAAGCAGTTTCTAAGTCTGCTGATATTATTGCAATTATTTTGTTTCAGGCATCAAAAATTCTCCACTTATTTTATAAGTTAAAAATTTCCCACTGGCATGACTTGTATTCAGTATAAAAGAGAACTTGGAAAATAGTGGCCTTGTCAAATTGGAAATTGGTTCATTATCCAAGTTAGAACATCTAACTACAAGTGTGCTAACAAAAACTGCACTTTGATATAACATTTTTGCTGTCGTTTTAACACATGCACAAACAAAAACATACAGAAATTAAATCTTTGTCAACCAATCAGGGTATTTCATTTGTTTTTTTAATTATAAAAAATAATTTCTGATAATAAATTCTATTCTATAAATCCATTTTAAAAATATTTTACAAGATATTGTTGTAATAAAGTATTGACAATGCGTTTCTGTAATCCATGATATGCTTCAGTGCAAAATGCAAAGCTCAAATGTATAATCAAAAAAATATTTAAGAATTCTAATCTTTGTGTGTGTGTTGATTTGGACTAATTTCTACATATTTGTTTTTTACAATGTTTTGAATTGGTATCCTTTGGTTAGATCCATTCTGACTTTTTCAGGTGCTGCTGTGTTGTGGAATGTTTTCAAATCTTGCTTTGAGAAAGCATGCATTTTTCTCTCTTGTACATGTTACCTTCAGTGCCTTTATCTGTGTATTTTCAACATTGGCTATTCCTAGTCTCTATGCTGAATCTGTCAATGACATTCCAGAACATAGCAGGAATTTAAAAATGATATTAGCTAATGTGTTGTAAAAAAAAAAAAAAACAAAGAAAAATAAAACAGTCCAAACAAACCTATACATAATGATTAAAACTTGCAAGGTCAACTGCTAAGAAAGTTGGTTCACTGTATTGTGCAAGACAATTTTTCTCTCTAGAATCTATCTTAGATATATCTGTCTTAGATATATCTGTCTTAGATATATCTGTCTTAGATATATCTGTCTTAGATATATCTGTCTTAGATATATCTGTCTTAGATATAACTGTCTTAGATATAACTGTCTTAGATATATCTGTCATTTGCTTAGAATATTACTGCCACATATGGTCCAGTATCCCTACTATTTACCTTGAGCTCGTTGATAAAATCCAAAGAAGAATCAGCAATATTATTGTTCTTGATCTTGTGGCTTGGCTTCAGTCACTTTCCCACCATCATAAGTTTTCCTTTCCTATAAATACTTTCATGGTAATTATTCGGATGAGCTCTTCCCTATGGTACCTAGACTTTTTGAATTTAAGAGCAGTACTAGACGTAAAGTTGAGCTGGCTAGATGTAACCATAAATTCTATGCTAACAGTTTTTCTCACACTTCTCCCTTGTGAAATTCACATTCCAGCTCCATGCTTTCCAGCCAACTCTAATCTGCAAAAATTTAAATGCAATGTTAATCGCTATCTACTATCCTCCTGATTACTCTTTCCTCTCATTATTAATGTTTCTGTTCCTATTTCTTCAACACCCTGTAACCCCTTGTGTCTTAGTGGCTTTACTGCCTTGCATGAGGTGATACTGATAAAAAAAACAAAAAAACACATTATCTAATAAAATTCAGAAAAGAATCCAAACTTTTTGCAAAATGGTAAAATTCAAGCATTGGCTGAAGATTGAATTAAGGATCAGAGCAAAGCTCCGTTGGTCATATAGCTGATTGGTCAGTGGTTAATCATTAACAAATCCAATACATTGACCAACCAACTGAATAACTACTTCATTCTATTTACAACTCCTGGCCATACCAATGGTCTGCATGCTTGAACAGAACTATTGAATAAATCAATGACACACTCACATCAATTACACTGGACATACTACATTTATCATTATTTGTAGTTCTCATCTAAAATAAAATTGACTTGTCAGCTTTCTGCAGCTATGATAGATTTGAGCAATTAAGTTGAATAAAAAAATCAATTCTTCTAAGTAAAAATATGTCTATCTATGTCATAGTTACAATGAAATAAATTCACTAATACTTGTGCATTTATGTGTGTATTGTGTTGCTTCCAAAATGGTTGATTTACATTTGAATGAAATAAAAATTCTTCAAATTTTTCCATTCAATTGTCTAAAAATTGAAAGTTGTATACATTTTCAAAAGTAATTAGTAGCTCACTTTTGCCTAGAAGGACTTTCTCTTCCTCAAGGGTTTTATCATATATTCAATAATAACAATGTTAAACCATTACTGCATAAATGTTTTCTTAAAATTCTCACTCTTTTTGCCTATTTTACCTTGCTGGCTCATGGTAAACTTAGAGTGGGCTGATTTTAATTTTTAGGTGTCAACCTCTGTAAAAAATTGAATGCGATGCGCTAATAGTTTCAGCATCCTAACTTAGTAGGAGTTAATTAAACAAAAGAAGGCATGAAACTTATTAATTATTAAATCCAGAGGATGGCCCCAAACTTTTGGACTCTAGTGTAAGGATATTCACTTTGTTGTATGATTTAATTATTGAAAGCTTATATCCACATCACATTGAAACACTGTTTCTTGTATGATCACTGAAGTTAAGCAATGTTGAGACTGATCAGTACCTAGAAGAGTGACCACTTGTGAATACCAGGTGTTGTAAGTTTGGACATGTGAGTGGTGTAATGAATAATGGCTTGTAATTGTTAATTGGAGAGCTGAGTTTCAAATTCTGTTGGGTTCGATATATTCACTTAACACACAAATATCCTTAGAAAAAGTATGAATCCACCTTTTTTTCCCTACAGATATGTGTTAACTAGTAAAACTTGTATCACTAAACCATTATCTCCCTCTCCCAACAAACAATTGTTACATTCTAAAAATATTTTCTGGCTTTAAATAACCTGCAAAGAGTTGATAAGTCATAGAAAACAAATCAATCAATCATTGACAGTGAGAAAAGTTATAACTTGTTGCAGATGAGGTTGAAGACTTTCAAAGTAAGCAAATTCAACATTTTCAAAAGGAATGAATTCAACACATGAAGGATTTTATATATATTTATATTAAGAACAACATGGATCACAAAAGAGGAGAAAGAAAATTATATTTATGTAATACAGATAGTTAAAAAAAAAGGGGGGGAGAAAACATTTATGCATTTAGCCATTCTTTTTAATATCCACATAGTTTGTTTGAAATTAAGTAGTCAGTTTTCCGGGGGAAAGAAACCTCTCTCAGCAGAGATGAGTCCTAATATTGCTACATTGAAGAGCAAAACAGAAAAAGAGAAGGTTATGTTCATTCCTTTTACAGCCTTGCACAGCACTACTTCATGGGCATCTGAACAGACAAAGTGGATGTAATTGCCACAACTGTATTTTCTTTAGTCACATATTTACTTAGATGATTATGTTACAGATTTGTCTTGCTTTCTTTCTCTTTTCTTTTTCAACAATTCTTTCTTCTTTCTTTCTGTTCTTTTTTCTCTGGCTTAAATTTTCTCTTGCCTGTTTTTTTTTTTTTTTCTTGCTTTTTATTCTATTTTCCTTCATTTCCCTTTTCTCTCTCTCTCTTCCTCCTTTCTTTACTTTCTCTTGAGCAACCATTGCATCCATGTATTCACTCATTCATTTTTTTCTTTCATTCCTTTATTCTTCAGATGTTTTTACTTTTTATCTTTCACTTTTTGTTTCTTCATAATTTACTCACTTTGCTATTGTGTTTTCTTTAATATTATTATTTTTTCTAAAAGTAACTTATAAACAAATCCTTTCTGAGTCGGCCTTGTGTCTGGATAAAAGAGAGTAAAACATTAAAAAAAAAAAAAACCTTCTCAAGAATAATCATTATATCCATGAGTGTATGCATCTGTGCAGAGAGGTAATGTGTGCATATGCGTTTTGTAAGGTTTGTTTGTTATATTTGTATTATTTGATCAATGGTCAAACAGGCAGAAGAGGGCAGAACCAGTCGGGCTGGTGTAACGAAGGCAGACCTTGACAGACTAAGCATCTAATGACCCGATGCAACCAGGTTTACCAGATCTGGTCTATCTCAATCCCCTTTGAGCCATGAGGGAGTCACTTCTGGTCAAATGTGTGGGCTTCTCCATTGTGCAGTGTTGTCCACTACACCAAATTCATGTGAATGGCCTCATCAAACTCTCTTTGATTCACAGCCATCTCTGCCACCACCACTAGGAGAGAGAAAGGGAATGGGGAGAAAGAGGATGACAGTCCCAATGCTCAGATGCAAGTGGATGCCGACAGCAAAATTTTATCATTATATATGATATTTTTTTAACTTTCCAGCATCTTCTTGTATAGGATTATATGAACTGGGATCAAATACAGATCAGAATGCAGCAGAACAATAGGATAAAAGACAAATAGGAAACATTTATAGCTCTAATATGTTTTGCTTTTATTAAAGTTTTATCAGAGAATGAGATATAAAAAAAAAAAAAAAAAAAAAAAAAGAAAAATTTTTCTGGTATTATTATTTTTGTGTTGTTTGGTCAATGAAAATCAAACAACATAAAAATATTAGACAAATTTTTTTCCCATATCTCATTCACTGATTAAACTTTAATGGAAGTGAAACATGTTAGATTTATAAACATTTTCTATTTGTTCATTATCCTATCCTATCATAGCATTAGATATATACATATTAAAATTATAGAAAAGAACAATGAGATTTATAATTAAGAGTTCTTAACATTTATTTTTATTTTTTAAAAACAGTGCTCGCTAGAACAGTAGAGCCTAATATTTTTTTTTTTTTTTAAATATATAATCATTGCAAAGACAGATAGCACAGCCCTCACCTTGACTTTACTGACTTGATAGCTACAATACATTAGACACATGAGTTTTCTAAATAAGTTAAATCTTAACACCCCTAAAATAAAAGTGATGGAATTTTCCTTAACCCCAACATCTCAAAATATCAAATTTGTCTGGGCTTATAAATTAAGTGAATCAATTTCTAAAAAGTTATTCTTAGCATCACTTGATAATAGAATGGAACTTTGTATTTTAAGTTTAAATTGTATGATTGAATTTAAATTGAAGTTTCAGCTTTGAAACATGGGAATTTCAGTGTTGCAATGATTATATATTTTAAAAAAAACATAATATATATATATATATTATATATAAATATATATATATATATATATATATATATATATATATAAAACATTATTTTAGTGAGTACACATATTTGAGTAGAAATCTCTGTTTTTTTAAACAGTGAAATTAACATCTACTAGCCTAGATTATTGAAAGTCTTAAAGAAAATATACCTCTTAGCAGAGATCAAAACTGCATTGCTTTTATCTGAGAAACCACCTTTTAGCCAGGTGTGCCTTTACTATTTCAGTCAGGGAGGTCCTTACAGCAAAGCAATGCTCAATTATCCTTTTTAAAAAATATACACATTTCATTGGGATTTTTTCCTGCCTATATTTGCTAACTTATATTTTTGAAGAGAAATTATAAAAAAAAAAAAAAAAAATTAGAAAATTGCTTTATGTTTGGACATGAAACTGAGCAGATATGAAAATTTCGAGAGTCTGACAAGAAGAATTTTGCTTAAAGACACTTTTCTTCGTAACTCACTTGGTCTAGAGCATGTAGCACCAAACAATGGTCCCATCTGCCCAAGGGGATGCAGGTTTGTACCCAGCCGTAGAGCACATATTTTTCTTTAATAAAATTTCTCAAATATTCAGGCTGTGACATGAAATAATATATATATTAATAAATATACTGTTTAATAAATAAACAGAGCATCTACTCAAATACAAGTATCTGCTAAAAATAACGTTCAAAGTGATAAAATTAATTTAAGCAATTAATAGATTTTCTTTTTAATCTATCCAGAAAAGGCATAGAACATGGAACTAGAACAATCTACCCCAGTGGACTAAATAAAGAGTTTGGTTCAAAATTCTAATGTATATCACCTGAAGAAGGCCAGAGCCTACAATGGCTGAAACATCATGAATATGACAACAAAGATCAGGACAACAGTCTGAACAATGTAAATAGATACAATACTGCATCTCAGAAATATTGACAGAAGTATATACAATATAGATTTGGTATCAAGTATATAGCTTAATGATGAAAAAGATATTTATTTTACAAAATTAAAATTTATTTTTCAACATAATCTTTTTACTTATTAAGGAACTCAACTTCACACTGTCTCTTTTCTTCTGCATTTTCTGCACTTTGACATTGGGGGAATTACCTATTGGGCAATCTCCTTCAGTCAAACAGCAAGATCCTGTGCCTCCATGTCACTGATGGTGGTTGAATCCATAGGAGATGAGTCATTTTCAGGAAGCTTCTGTTTCTCTTCAGTGGGGCCATGTTAGTCAGAGACTATCTCTCCAAATAAAAGGGTTTTTGGGAAACAGTTGTCTTCCTTGTGCAGTTTGGTTTTTGTAACATGGTTTCAACATGTGGTCCTGGCTGAACTCTGAATTTTACTATCTGTTTTAATATTTTTACTATTTTACTAATTTTACTATTTTAAGGTAATCTGGAAACAATGTTGATAGAAGGGCTTCAGTGGGTATAGGTGGCACTGGTACACAGTCCAAGAATTGGCACCATGTAAAAGGCAGAGTAATACAGTAGCTTTGCAGATTTGTTTTTTGAGATTTTTTTTTTACCCCAGATACATTTATGTAGTTTACCAGAGGCTTAATTAGTCTTAGTCAGTTTGTTGCCTATTTTTCTGTCTAATTTTTGTTATCAATGGCTATGACCCTGCTGAGGTAATTGATAATTGATTCAGGCTTGCCCCATCTATGAAGAGGAAAAGTGAGTGAGAGATTAGATTTAATACAAATTGATGAAGAAATTTTTTTACATCTGACTTCTATACTGAAGAGACCTTGCATTACTTGTAGATGAGATACTTCTGAGTGAGTGACCAGAATAGCATTTATATATGAACAGGGTTCCTCTGACCAGCAGCACCAAGGATTTAGTTTGAGCCATGAGATATAACAGGTTGTCATTTTTGCATGTGCAAATATATATGTGATCAGTCTGTATTCCATCTCTTCTGTAGCCTTCTTCAAATTTTTATTTCTTAAATTGGAAGAATGCAGGTCAATACAGCCTGATCATGCTGCTTCTCCATTTTTCTCTGTCTAATATATAGCTCCACAGCTTTTTTCTGTGTGATGTTCTCTGTGTTTTTTAACATAGATCATTCTTGGACATCTCTTGTTTTTGCTATGTTCAGGTTGGTAGAGAACAAATCAAAGGTTGTTGATTTCCCTTAACAAGTGTCCTAAGGATCATAGTTGTCATGCATAAAAATTGTTAACTAATGGTTGTTCTTGTTTCTGATGGAGTTGGTTCTTTTAGAACTCAGCATATCTGTAACAGGTGGTTTGAAATGAGTTTAGCATCTTCACCGATTATTTAGTTACTGTTTAAAAATTTAAAATTCCACACTATTGCAGAATATACTTAAATTCAGTTCCATGGTTGGAAATTTCTATATGTTCTTTAGTTGTCAGAACTATCATCATTGTTTAAAATTGATTTTGGAGCCAAAGTATTTAAAGGAGGCCTTTAAATTTATAGTAAAAAAAACAAAAACAAAAACTGTTGAGGTCAATACAAA